TACGTGCCAGGGGTCAGTGCCAAGTGAGGAATTCTCATAAGTGTTACATGCCTTGGTGTCATTATGTAAGACAATGCCAAGCGGTTTTTATTGACTAACGAGAAGAAAAGGGAAGAAGTGAAATGAGAGATAAGCGATGATGATGAAAAGAAAAAGAAAATGAAGAGAAAGAGGGATAGCCATCGAAAAAAGAAAAAAAATGAAGAAGAAACAAAAGAGACGGAAAAAGATAAACAAGAAAATAAGAAAGGCGGATAGAAGAAGAAGAAAAAGAAAAATGAAAAAAAAACGAGAGAGAGAAAAAGAGAAAAACAAGAAGAATCAAAGGAAGAGAGGAAGAACAGAAGCGAAGGGAAAATGATGGGCACTGCACGGACAGATAAAGTGTGAATTTTAATGGACACGTGACACCCCCGCCGTGACACCCCCGCCGTGACACCCCCGCCGACAACAGCATCTGCGGAGATCATTCAAGGGGCTTTTATGGGCGGGGGAGGGGGGGGGGATGGAGGGGCGGGGAGGGGTAGGGGAGGGGGCGGGAAGGACGAAAGGGAAGGGGAGTAGGGAAGACGAAAGGAAAGGGGAGGGCAAGGGGTAGGAGGACGAAAGAGAAGGGGAGGGAGCGAGGAGGATGAAGAGGAAGGGGAGTGGATAAGGGGGGGGGGGGGGGGCGGGGGAGGAAGACGAAAGGGAAGGGGAGGATGAAAGAGAAGGGGAGGGGGCGAGGAGGACGAAGAGGAAGGGGAGTGGATGGGGAGGGGGGCGAGGAGGGGTAGGGAAGACGAAAGGGAAAGAGGAGGGATTGGAGGGGGGGCGGGGAGGACGAAGAGGAAGGGGAGTGGGTAGGGAGGGGGCGGGGAGGGGTAGGGAAGACGAAAGGGAAGAGGAGGGATTGGAGGGGGGGCGGGGAGGACGAAGAGGAAGGGGAGTGGATGGGGGAGGACGAAAAGGAAGAGGAAGGGTTGGAGGGGGGGGCGGGGAGGGGTAGGAAAGACGAAAAGGAAGGAGAGTGGGCGGGGAAATGGACGGAGAGGTAGGAGGGGAAGAGGACAAGGAAGGGGTGAAGAAGGGTTGAAGAGGGGGCGGAGAGTGGGGGGGGGGAGGAAGGGGAAGTAGACGCAGCAGCGATGAAGACGTCAGGAAGGGGAGAAGAGGGGAGGGTGGTGAGGGGGGAAAGGGTGGGGGTGGCTGGCGGCGAAAGACTTTTGGGTGCGCGTGGATCGACGGGGGTAGGTGGTGGAGGGGGTGTGGGGGGGGGGGTTGGGGTTGGTGAGGCCCATTTTGTTGATGTGTGGATATACGCCAGCCGCGTCCGGGGCCGCGGGGCGGGGCCGCGGAGGCGGCGGAGCCGCCGACAAGACGAGGCGGCGGGGAAGAGGCGCGCGAAGCAGCCGCGGGGGAGCCCGGGGCAGCCGTACAGCCGGGGAAGAGGCACCAGCCGAAGACGGCTCAGACGGAGCAAGCCGACGCTCAGGACAGGCCGCGCCTGCCGCGGCAGATAGCCGAGACCCGACGCCCCAGTCCCGCCGCCGCAGCCGCGCGCGTGCGCCGCCGCGCCGACATCGCCGGACACCGCGCAGCCGGCAGCGCGCCGCGTGCGCCGCCGCCGCCGATCCGCCGCCGCGTTCTCGCCGCCCCGCCTCCCGCCTCCGCCGCCTCCCCGCCGCCGCTCTTCGCACTCTCGCCGCCTCCGCCCTCCCCACCTCCACCGCCTTCTATAAGCGCCTCCTCCTCCTCCTCCTCCCCTCCTCCTCCTCCCCTCCTCCTCCCCCCCCTCCTCCTCCTCCTCCTCCTCCTCCTCCTTCTTCTTCAAAATAAATTCATTATTCATCTTAGAGTATGCCATATTTTGCTATGATTGGAGTATGGCCACTCGACGTCGAAAAGAAAATAACGGAATAAAGCAGTTTCTGTTTTCTTTTGAGTATTTGTTTGTTTGTGTTTCTTACCGGTCGTCCAGGGTGCTTTGCGCTGTCGAAAGGAGATCTATTCTGATGGCTTATCATTCGTTTGCATGTCATCTTTGCGCGTGGCGTCACTCGGGATCTTGAAACAGGTTTAGCTGCTTGATACATAAACAGTGTAAATACAGGCTATATACTAAGTTCTTTGATGTGACTGTGTGTGTGTGTGTGGGGGGGGGGGGCGGTGTGTGTGTGTGTGTGTTTGTGTGTGTGTTTGTTTGTTTGCGTGTGTGTGTGTGTGTGTGTGTGTGTGTGTGTGTGTGTGTGTGTGTGTGTGTGTGTGTGTGTGTGTGTGAATGTACAGTAGATGTATACCTAAATAAACCAGGAAAGACAGAGTACCTAGTACATATATTCTCAAGAATTTAGGTAAAATACGTACGCCGATGCCCTCGGCACACGTGCGTGCGGGCGCAGCAGGAAGCAGCGATCTCTTCGGCGAACGGGCGCGCGTGCGGGCGAACGAACCGCGACGGCGCATCAGAAGGCCCGCCAACTGGTCCGGCGAGTCAGCCATTTTGATTAGTTGTATATAA